TATCTATCTATCTATCTATCTATCTATCTATCTATCTATCTATCTATCTATCTATCTATCTATCTGCCCTCCCGCTCACCCACTGGCCCACCAGTCCATCTGTCCATGCACCCACCCACCCCACCCATCCTTCTATCTATCTATCTATCTATCTATCTGTCTGTCTGTCTGTCTGTCTGTCTGTCTGTCTGTCTGTCTATCTATCTATCTCCATCCATCCGTCCATCCATCCATCTATTGTGGAAACAGGTGCTCAGTGTATTGCTCTGACTGACCTGAAACTTGCTATTCAGATCAGACTGGCTTTTACTCCCAGGGATCCATCTGCCTCTGCCTCCTGAGGACTAGGACTAAGTGCATTTGCCATCATACCAGGCAAAAGTCCACTTTTGTAAAAAGTGAAAAAACAAATCAAACTAGACAAACCACCCTAAAGGAATGACTTTAATGACCCATTAAGATTTATTTAACAGATCAATATTCAAAATTTTAATTAATTACATACATTTCATATATTTAATTAATTACTTTTATACATATAATTATGTCTATATAACATACAGTCTGGCAGCTAAAGAAAATAGATTAATGGAACTGTTTTAAGGACTTTTATATATATTTTTTTTTATCCAGATCACAAAGAAGGCTTTATAGAATACTGTTCACTGGAACATAAAACGTCTCTTTCTGCAGACTTGAGAGATATTTTAATAATGTTCATGAAAGGGGATTCTGCCTCTGTCACCAACAAGCTTGTGATTGCATGGACTTTTCCTCCTTAACCATGAGAGGGTATATGCAGTTTTAGAAGCTATCTTCAGAATCAAAGATCATCAACACAATTCAAGTGAAACTCACCAGTCCCACTAGCTCTGATGAAGATGTAGGCTGGCATAGTTTTACTATCTTAGCAAGAGGGCTCTCCTACAGCTGTTAAGAATGACAGGGATGAAGACAGTCTTGGTAGGTAATGTTATGCATGTCATAATTTTTTATTTATAGAATAAAAAAGTAGCTATCCAAATACAAATTCAAGATTTGGTGTGTTTAGTCATTAATTTTACTAGTAAGCAGAGAAAAGAGGGTGTTATTGCATGAAATACAGATTGGGGATTAGTATGTAATTTTATAATCATCTCTGTGTTGTTATACTCCATTTCTACCTTGGTAATCTTTTTTCTTCTCCAAATCCAACAGAAACCTAAATAGTTATTCTTACCTTCACACTATCAACTACCGACTTTCACTCTCTTCTCTCTTTTTGAGCTATACCTTCTTCATAATCAGGTTGGTGTCACGGAGTCTGCTTTCCCTCAGTCCTTTGCACCCTAAAGATCCACTATGGCTTCCACATTTCTTTTGATGATGAATTCCTTTGCTCCTATTTCCTGTCAGCATTCTAGGATAAACTAAATTCTTTTTCCTTTTTCTCTCATACGTGATTATATGTAGCCACGCCTAGAACTTACTGTGTAACCAAGGATGACCTTTAACTCTTAATCCTCTTGCCTCTGGCTCCCCAGTGCTGGGATTACAGGCATGTGCCACCATGCTCAGTTCTTCATTCTTTGAGGAAATTATTTCATTTCCTTCTTTAACATTAGGTTTCTTGCAGAGATTGATTTTGGCTTTCTTTGATTATTTATCTATGGATCTCTTTCAGGGTTTTTATTTAACTCATCTTTCGGTATCTGTGGACTTCAAGGTGGCGGTGGGTCATCTTCATTTGATACACTACTCAGTTTGACCCTTACTCATGTTTGACCATTTTGACTGTGAAATGATTTCAGTTTCTTCATCTCCTCTCTAGAATTCCATTATTCCCACTACATCTAATTGCCTGCCATGTACACAGCTCCCCTTAGTTACTAAAGGTACCTTAAATACAGTAAGTCTTGAATAGAACTGACGATTTTTCAAAGAAAAATAAAAACCCTGCCATTGTCTCTTGATTTAGCAACTCTTTCAGTATCACTGACATAATCTTGATATCCAAGAAAAAGGGTTTATTCCAGATCTTGCTCCTCTAAGCTTATTGGGTATAAGATACTTGACATTATTCAACTCCATTTTCCCCTCTACATTCTCATTATTGACTTTAATTTTCTTCTTTTACATGACCCTCTGAAGATCTCAGTAGCAACCAAAATGATCACAAACATACTGACCAAGCTGCTCTGGAAGAAATTTCAGTGAAGCCCAGATGTGATCTTGGGGAAAAATTGAATTTCTCTATGGCTAAAGCCATTTTCTTAGCTCACAGACCTATGCAGAGACTCACCCTGCTATCTCAGTATAATTCAGTAATTTTCTACCATCACTTCTTCATTTTAATCTACCCATTTGCTGACAGCTATTAGTGTGTCTGCTCACATGTGTCTGGCAAAAACATTTCTATTGCAGAAGTAGAAATTCTGTGAGTAAAGATATTTGGGAAACACCTAATTAAATGTCTTTCCTTAACTATACAGGGTTCTTATGACCTGTGAGAACTGCGTCTCTCTTACGTAGGGATGAAGAATGCAGCACACCGGCTTCTGAAGTCTAACATTAGCTTTTGTCTACCCTAAGGAGTTTCACCAAGCACCTCCTGTTCCAAGGGGAGGCCGCTTCAAACTGGCACATCTTGCCCTCCAGTGGCTCCAGGGTTTGTGCAGCATTCCTCTGAAACTTCAGCAGGTGCTCTTCACCTAGGCCACTCTTCCACCCTTGCTTGTGTCTCAGGGGCCCTTCCTGGAGCTGATTTCTCCCTCCAGAGTTCTATTCTGAGACTATGTGCTGGCTAGTTTTATATCAGCTTGACATAAGCTAAACTCATCTGAGAGGAGGATGCCCCATTTGAGGAAATAAAAATGGGCCCTGCAAGATTTGGCTGTTGGCAACCCAATAGGTTATTTTCTCCATTAGTTATCAATGGGGGAGTGCCCAGTTCATTTGTGGGTGGTGCTACTCCAGGACTGGTAGTCCTGGGTGCTATAAGGAAGCATTCTGAACAAGCCCGAGGAGCAAGTCAGTAAGCAGCACTCTTCCATGGCCTTGGCATCAGCTCCTGCCTCTAGGTTCCTGACTTAGTTGAATTCCTGTCCTGATTGCCTTCAGTGATGTCATGGAAGAGAAAGGTAAATAAATAAAACTTTTCCTCCCCAAGCTGCTTTTGGTCATGATATACTTTTTTTCAGCAATAGAAACCCTTACCATGACAGAGTGCTACCTTACTATACACAACACTATCAACAATGAACAATTCTCGTATCATCTGATTGTAAGTTTCTTGAAGGCAAAGGTTTGCTTCAGATTTCCATTAATTCTTGTACAGTACTTAGTAGATGACTGGCAAAAAGTTATTAAATACAGAGTGTGTGGAAAGATGATATACAGTTAAATCTAAATTTTCTTAAAATACCACATCAGTATCACCAATGTTAATTAGGTCTAGTTCTATTTTCAGAGGTATCAAAGTTTGGGTTTCAGATATGAGTAATGACATAGAATTATGAGATTCTAACCAAATAACAGTTGCACTATTACACCATACCTAGAACTAAGAGACAGGGCCTTCCATCTCGGTTATTATTATATATCTTCCTTTAATTTGCTTTCCATTGCTGTGATAAAACACTCTCACCAAAAACAATTTAGGAGAACAAAGGGTTTACGTGACTTAGAGGTTATAATTCACCCTGAAGAAAAGCTGAGGCAGCCACTCAAGCCCGAAGCTTGAAGCAGAAGTCATGGAGGAATGTTACTTTCTAGTCTGCTTCCAGGGTCTCCTTTATCCACTTTCCATAAATAAGCCATGCCCATTTGCCTTCAGATGGTACCATCTACTGAGGGTTGGGCCATTGTATATTAACTGGAAATTAAGAAAATGCCCCACAGATGTGCCTTTCGATAAAACTGATGGAGGACGATCTCCATCAGTTGGGGTTGCATCTTTTCAAGTGTCTTGAGCTGAAAGCCAAGATTAGTTATCACACATACACACACACAAACACACACACACACACACACACACACACACACACACTCACCACATCACTCCCCACCAAATACATGTACACATGAACACGTCCATGTGCACATATGCCAGCATCTATAAGTTTAAGAGTACATTTCCCATTTTCTAACAACTGGTCAAAATATTCCCTTATAAGGTCAAATAAAATGGGAGCTCACCAAATTCAGCTGGACCGGGACTGAATGAGCATGTGATCAAACCAAACTCTCTGAATGTGGCTGACAACAGGGGCTAACTGAGAAACCATTGATAAAGGCACTGGGACTTGTTTCTACTGCACATACTGGCTTTTTGGGACCCTAGTTTATTTGGATGCAAAGCTTCCTAGTCCTGGATGTAGAGGGGAGGGCCTTGAACTTCCCACAGGTCAGGGTTCCCTGCCCTCTCTTAAGAAGGGAGGTTGATGGAGGAAGGTAAGTAGGGGAGCAGGAGGGAATGGAAGGAGGGGAGGAAGTGTAAATTTTTGAATGGAAAAAATAAAAATAAAAAAGTCCCAGAACCATAGCAAATGTCATGCCATTACTTTTCAATTAATTTCTGAAACATATTTACAGTTTTTGACATTTTTGAAGATCAAGAAATTGATAGCTGTGACATACCACCCTATAGCTTCTAAACTAAAGGAAACATCTTGACAAAATAGAAAAGCACACAACCTTTCCAAATCTGTTATAGGATATAATTTCACAAGTTGTAAGACACTTTTATGCTTTCAAATTAAGCTCTGGGTTTCAAAAAAGAAAATGACAGCGAACCATTTGGCTCTTCAATCAGTCTTGTCTAATCCAAACCACCTATAATGTAAGCCAAAGAAATGACTGTATCAATTTTTCACAGAACTTGTGAGTAGCTGAAATTACAGGCAAGGTCCTTCTCCTGATTAGGTTCCCGGGTGCTTTGGATGGCATGATTAAGGCCCACACTGCATTCTTACTTGAAAAACTCACCTTGCTTCTGAATCCTTGACAGGGTGAACGATTTCCATTTCCCGTCATTATGGTTTTGATTGCTGACAACAGAAGCCATTCCTGAGCCCAGATCATAGCTGACTTTTATGTGCCCGTCACTGAGCTCCACACTCATGAAATCTTTCTATTAACAGATGAAAATACACCAGTGATTAGATACACGGAGAAATATATGGGGATTCATTTTTTTATGGGGCGTCTAAAAGGGCCTTATGGCTAGATGGCTGCATGTGTCACTCTGTGACAGAAGTACATTTCAGAAAGGGAATTAGTGCTACTACTTGCAATTTTTTTTTTGCTTGTGAGTATGATGTTATAGTGCAGACAGCCACAATCAAACTACTGAGACATATTCTCTCAGGATGGTAGTGCAAAATGGGTTCCTTTGAAAAATGCCTTAAGCCAGCCAAATGTTAAGATACCCAAACAAATTTACTAAAGAAATGTGGACCTGAGAAAAACGATGCCAAGGAGTATTTAGGAACACCTTTCCACTCCGGTCTCTCAAATACAACTACAAAATTCTGTCTTGGGAAAGTTATCACTGGGTGCTTCTCATAAAGAGCTATCCAGGTAGTGATACTTCAGAGAAAAAGTAACTAAACTCTATCATGATTAAATTATCACTGAAAACATATTAGCGTTTTCTATATCATTCTTGGCAATCACACAACCATTACAGACTCACTTGTGGTTTAACTGGTAGTTTTATCAGTAACTAATAGTTGTTTTAGTATTCTACAAACAGCAGAAGCAAACCCATTCTCCATGTTACCAAGTCTCGTGTGGCCAGATACATCAGGAGAGCGCTTGATGAAAATGTCCGGAACTTGAACATGACTGTGGAGATATTGGGGTACCAGCGGATGGGGCGGCTCACCAGGGCGTAACCTTCTCCGTCAAACTGAATAGTCCCCTCACTGTCTTCCACTTGGGGACTGAAAAGAGACATTTCACACCAGTTGAACCCATTTTGTCTGTCATCCTTCAGTGAGCCAGACTACCCCCAGGACGGGATGGCAAACTGTTGCTAGATAGAAACTATCTCAAAGATGGCACATGTCCCCCTTACCTCCACACCCACTGTCCACAATCTTAGACTCCAAACCATAATCTCTTACCTAGACTTTCATAGACATTTTAGGCAAGAACTTTGTATAAAGTTACACAATATTTAAGCACTTCTTGGTGATATTTGTGAACACTGTTAGAATCTGGGATAGGCTGAATCTTTTATACTTCCTGTCTACACAACAAATTAGAATATAGACTCCCAATCTCTAAATCCTTCTGTCCAACAAGTTCTCCTTGGACAAATTAGATTCAGACAATGAAAGATGCCTGCATTTCACTTTGTGTTTTTAATTAGCATTTGTGATTAGTGTGTAACTTTAAGAGATTATCCTGAAGTTATGGGTCCCTAACTATAGCAGTCATACACTCAGGATCTATGCTAGCCATTGCTTAATAGATTGTGATAAACATATGTGGGATGAAGAAGATTTTCATATAGCAAAATGATTCATAGATAAGATATGTTCAATATTGTTTTAATAACTAATGATTAAGATAAAACTCATAAATATAATAATCAAAAAGTATTGGTTTTACATGTGAGTTTATCTAATCTATCTATGTATCTAGGCATCTATGTACCTAACATGCACCCAACCACCCAGCTACCTACCTACCCACACACCCAAGCATTTATGTACTCTGGGGATAGTTTTCAGGCTTCTCTGCCTGCACGTGAGGGATCATGTAAGTTCTGAAACTGGAGTGTTGTACAGTTCTGAGGACAGAGGGGATAATGAGAAGTGTGATGGTTCTGTCATAAAATAATTGCTTAAAATTTTATTTTCATGAAATCGTGGCTAATGAGATAAAAATTATAGAGTATAAAATTGAGCGTGCTGCGTAGGAAGAACTGCTTCACACTTGTACAAGTTGACTTGCTCTTGGCTCCTTGTCAGAGAGAAAAAGAACAGTAAATATAAGATAAAGGATGACTTTTTCAGTCTTTATAAAAATCTTAGTTTGGAAACTGAGGAACTAAACTAGCTTATTGACAGTGAGTAACTTGACTATCATTTATACTTTTATTACAATAGAGCAGTAAGTTCTGGAACACCACACTAGATATAAGAGGCTATTACAAGAGATGTCATACATGTTCCTTGTGGTTCTCATTTACCAGGACTGTGCATAGTATACCACCATGGTATCAAGACTATCTTAGGAAAGGATTGTGGGAGCCCAGCACACCCACTTTCTATGTGCTTTGTTCCCAGACGTTGCTACTTACTGATAACTTTAAAAAGTGCCCCAAATAACAAAAATCTCACTACATAATTCTAGACTCAAAAGAGAAATGCCAGTTTATTTTTTGATACAAACTTATGAAATTTAAGCTCCGACGTCCTTGTGTCCCTAACCTATCTTCTTCTCAATGTGAGTTAGATATCAGGTACCCCGGGGAGTGCCGAAGAATCTCACAGAAGTCATTTAACAATTCATGTTGGAATTTCCGAAGCGTGACATGAAAGTTCCAGTCACTTTTAGATTTCTAAATTCTTTCCAATACTGACAACATTTTGTCACTCAAGCAAAAGTCAATTTATGAGCAAGAGTTTTGGGCAAGAAGTGAGCCAGCATATCGGTGCAGGAAAGCTGCCTTCACTCACTTCACCACTGATACTGGTCAAAAAAGGGAAATCCAGCTTTAAATGACTAATTTTGCAGCGGAAAAAGTTAGTTCAGTTAGGTATATGCTATAATATTTCAACATGTAACATTATATTAATTTCCTGTCCGTTTTGCACATACTTTTAAAGGAAATGTGCAACCCTATTATACCTCATAAACACAGAGTACCTTATTTGCCTTTTATTTCTGTGCTAAACCTGTGTGTCTGGTCAAGTAAGTAAAGAATAACTCTGCTGGTTTGGAGCAGCCACACCCTTTAGATGCTTGTACAAAAATGGGTGTATATTATATCTTAGTACTTAAAAGTTTATTGTAATTTTTATGCTCAGCTAAATGCATTTTACTTGTAGCAGTTTTTATATTTATTCCTAATGTGACATTTCATACTGAATAAAAATTATTATAAGCATTACAACAACTGCATCCTTCCATATTATTTCTCTAAAACCACAGCTTCCTAAGATGACATCCTGATGGCTCTACAGAATGTTCCCAGCCTACCTCCTGTAGCCTTATCCTTTATCTTACTCACAAAATTGATTTTGTCCTCTAAATTGCATGATTGGTTTTTATGTAAAAACACAACAAAGCTATTTTCAAAGGAAACCTAGCACAATACCTAACAATACCTTGAGTTCCATAAAAATTATTGTTACAAATGTAAGGTCAAAGGGAACAGCAGTGCTTCAGGAGACCACTCAAAACTTATACAACCATACAATCAAAGCCCATTAGAGGACAAGAGCAATCTTAACCAAAATATTTTCACAAAGCAAAAAAGCACTTAAATAATTCTATATTTGGGAATTTTAAAAATGTAAACAAAGAACTTTAAAAAAAGGATAAGGGTATTTTGGCAGCCAGATGCATAAGGAAGGTGTCATAATTAGTTTCTGTCCTTGACATAAGCTACAGTTATTTGGGGAGAAGTCACATCAATTGAGAAGGTATCCCAACCAGATTGGCCTGTGGGCAAGCCTATGGATTTTTTTTTTCTTGGTTAATGGTTGATGTGGGAGGGTCCAGTTGATTACGGACTTTTTCTTCCCCTGGGGGTTATAAGAAAACAGGCTGAGGAAGCAATAGGAAGTGATCCAGTAAGCAACACTCCTATGTGACTTCTGCTTCAGTTCCCCCCTTTAGGTTCCTGGCCTGTTTGAGTTCCCTGCCCTGCTTGAGTTCTTCCCTTGATGAGAGACTATTATGTGAACCTGTAAGCTGAGATAAACCCTCTCATCACCAAGTTATTTTTCGTGGTGATGTTTTATCATCAGCAATAGAAATACAACTCAGGCAGGAGGGTCAATACTGCCAAGAGGTGGAGCTTAGTCAAAATCATCATGGTAGAAAACTGGGCAGTCAACACTACCTTTTACTAGGTGTGAAACATTGTTGAAGTTTACCTCTGGCTGGTGGGTTGCTTCCTTCACAAAGAAAATTGCGAAAGTTATACTTTATACCCCATCCAAAGGGATTTTTAAAAATTGTTCTTTATAATTTAACTATCTTTTTAACCTTTTCTCCCTTTCATGTGATAGATACTTTTGATGACTGAGTTTGAACTGAATTCTTCCTACTATCAGAAGGTTGGAGGTATAAATTCCCTAGATAATACAATACATATTGAAGGATTTTTGCACAGTTGGTAATGTGGTTGTCTTATACACTGTGACTGACAGAATAATCATCTGATGTTTCAGGATAATTAGGTTCCTTGGGCCTGTGGTCTATGGGGCACATGTGTTCCAAGATAGCTATGAATGTGACCCTGAACATTTGTGAATGACAGTATCATACTGCATTGTCAGCTCGTTGGATAGTCCTGCAAGATTTCCTTTCACTACGGTTGTAAGTAATCTAAAAATTCCAGTTAGAAAACTAGCAAGGAAACGTTTGGGCCAAGTTTGGACCTCATATGTCTCAGGTTGGTGTTGAATTAGTAATCTTCCAATCACTGCATTCTTGGTGCTGGGATTACAGGCATGTGCCATCATACTTTGCATTGCATCTCATGGCTTTGATTGAACTGAAGAATTTTATTGACAGCTTTGCATATTCTGTGTCAATATGTTCTGGATAAAACCATCTTAAGTATGTCAGACTTTCACCCTGTCTTAACGCCATGTTGATAAGGTTATGGTACCAGAAGAAGGACATTAAAACTTTCAGAGGTATTTTAGAGACTCTTCTTGAACAGAATTGTAGAGCTATTTAGAAGCAAATGTACAATGTGCTTTGCTGTGTTAATGGGGTTTGAGGTTTGGGAATGCCCATGCACTCTTTAAATTAGAATTAAAAACACAAACTGCTTGGTACCTCTGAATTCTTGTGTATTTTTACATTAATCTTTTAGGTATTTAATGTACATTTCAGAGTTTTACTATGGGTTAATCATTTTTAGACTCAAATGACTAGGGGGTTCTCTATTTTCATGTTTCGAAATTCCCTCCGCTTAGGTTATTATTTTTATACTCTCTGCTCAAGTCCACATAAAACTATTTATTTCCTATACATGCATTTTATGCTGGATATACTTTAAAATCCTGTTTGTTCTGGACTCTTTCTTACATTTAATGCGGTGTGTTATGGTACTTCTTCCTGGACTGAGCCCCAGTTTTTGCCCCCTTCCTCTACCTTAAGCCATATCTCAAAGTCCTTCAGTTACCCCTTATAGCACTTGCAGGATCAGATGTCAATTCTGAAGGTCCTACAGGAAAAGCAATGCAAGCTAGGTTTCTACATGTATGCTTAATCAGTTTGGGGAATACGCTCCTTATAAAATAGTAATTATGACCAGAAGTCATTAAAAGATAAGCAGGCTCTCCTGGCTATGAAGAGACACTGGCATAACTGACTGGGGTTCAAATCGCTCATCTGTGCAGATTTTATAAAAACACATGGCCATGTAGATGTGGTGAAGGGCACTTTCAAGGTCTTTGGAAAATGCCCACACAGGCTGGGCCGGGACTAGACATTTCCCCCACTTTTGGTAAATCCACCGTAAGCACGATGAGCCCTGCTGTGCCCCGTGATAGATGGATACACACTGAAATGCAAACTGTGTGTTACACAGAACAGACTTTCTCATCTAAACCCACCTGACAGTGCAGCCCTTGCAGTCCCCTTCTTTCTCACGGAAGTTCCATAGACCTATAGGTTTGTTGTCAAAGTATGTTTCTCCCATGCAGCCGGTGAATGTGATCACACGCACAGCGTCGGCCTTCTGCAGGGAGACAGCGGGTATTTGTTAGAGTTAATGATTTTCCAAGTGGCAGTAGTTGTGACTTCTGAGCAGCAGAAGGCAGAAGAGCTCTTATCCGTTGCATATGACAACCTTGGCAGTCTTCGTATGGCATATTATGTCATCACAGTTACTACGGGATAGGTCATAAAGGGAAAAGCTCAGATATTTCATCAGTGGGTCCGGTCATCCTAAAATGGAACTGCATTTACATGTATTTCTCCATTAGTAAAAGCAATTGTCCTATCCTCTAGTGTTTTGTGGGAAACCCATCCAAAATGTACAGTCCTCAGATTCTGAAGTCTCTTATATAAAGATGGTGTGGTATTTGTACATAACATACACACATCCTTCCATATACTTCAAATGATCTCTAGATTAAATAATAAACTCAAAGCAACATAATATAAATTCTGTGTGATTAGCTATCATACTACATTATTTACAAAATGGCAGGAAAACATCTGCATATTTTAATGTAGGTGCAATTTTATTTTTCAAATATTTTCCATTCTTAATTTATGGAGTCTGAGGATGGATAGCCCAGATATAGTTGTGGCAGAACTAAATGATTTCACACACAATGGGATCATTGTGAGAATTAGATTATTTCTGCCCCTAAATCCAATGCCCAGTACAGTGTGTGTTAAGAGGTAGTTTATGCTCGGTCAAGTCCAGTCAAAGAGAGGGAAGAGGAATTATATGAGCAAAGGGGTCAAGATCATGATGGGGAAATCCACAGAGAAAGCTGACCTGAACTAGTGGGAGCTCACTAACTCTGGACTGAGAGCTGGGGAACCTGCATAGGATTGAATTAGGCCCTCTGAATGTGGGTGACAGTTCTGTGGCTTGGACAGTCTGTGGGAGGGACCACTGGCAGTGGGATTTATCCCTAGTGCATGAACTGGGCTTTTGGAGTCCATTCCTTGTGGAAGGATACAGGGGAGAGGAGTTAGGTCCTTCCTCAATTTGATATTTCAGACATCATAGACATCCCATGGGAGGCCTTAACATTTCTGAGGAGTGGATGGGAGGGGAAAGATGGTGGGGAGAGAGGAAGGGATGAACACGGAACTGTGGGTGCTATGTAAAATAAAAAAGAAACCTTTAAATAAAAATTTTTTAAAAAAAGTAGTGCATGGATATTGCTTCCTTTGGGTAAATCCAGCCCACAACACACTAGATGTTTTTCCCTTGAGGTCATGAGAGAATTCACACAGAGTTCTCAATGGAGAACTCTCCATTGATATGGAGAGATCATATGCATAAATTAATCTGCAACAGTGTTTTCAGCTTTCTTAATGCTATGACCCATTAATACAGTCCCTCACATTGTGGTGACCCCAAACATAAAATTATTTTCGTTGCTACTTTTAACTATAATTTTTCTACTGTTATGAATCATTGTATAAACAGCTATGTTTTCTGATTATCATAGACAGCCCCCAAGGAGTCAAGACCCACAGGTAGAGAACTGCTGATAGGGTTTTCATTCCTAGCCAGGTAGGCCCCCATCTCAAGAGGATGAGGAGAAAGACAGCAGCTTAGTAAGAGAGGAACACATGCATCCATGCAGGTTCTGCTTGCTGCTATCCCCAGCACAGAGTCTGGGGTCTAAGAGGGCACCTGCCCAATGTCAGTTCTGTTGTCATTGTCACAGAGGCATGTCTTCAGCTTGGTGAATGTAGATTCACAAAGGAGGAAAAAGACCAGCTCCAAGATAGAAAGCCTTGTTTAAATACCTCTTGTCCCAGCCCTGACTTACTACAAATAAGTGGCATAGTCTGCTCTCTATATCAGAAACTGTGCCAAAGCTAACTGTGATGGATAATCTCATTGCCAAATTCAAAGGATTTAGAACCATCAAAGAAACACACTTCTGAGTGTGTTTGAGGGTATTTCCAGGGAGGTTTACTTGAACAGAGAAGGCCCACCTCAAATATGGGCAGCAACATTCTATACCCTGGTATCCTGAATAGGTTTGTGTCAACTTGACACAAGCTGGAGTTATATGAGAAGAAGAACCTCAGTTAAGAAAATGCCTCCATCAGATTGCTTCTAGGCAAGTCTTTAGGGCATTTTCTTAACTAATGACTGATGTGAATGGGCCCAGTCACCGGGGTTGTGCTAAGGGTGGGCAGGTGGTCCTGGGCTGTATAAGAAAACAGGCTGGACAAGTCCTGGGGAACAAACCAGTAAGCAGCCATCCTCCATGGACTCTGCTTTAGTTTTGGCTTGCAGGTTCCTTTCTTACTTGAGTCATTGTCTTGACTCCTCAGTGATGGACTATGATGAGGACATGCAAGCTAAATAAACTCATTCTCCCCCAAGTCACTTTTGGTTATGGTCTTTGTCATAGCATCAGAAAACAAACTAGGGCACGTATGTTGTAAAACTGAATCAAAAGAAAGAAAAAAGAAAAAAAAAGAAAGAAAAGAAAGCACATTGAGCATCAGCTTCCTCCTCGCTCTGTGATCTGACTGTGGTGATTGTGAGAAACCACGTTACACCTCCGCGACCGTGCCTTCCTCTCCTTTCCACGATGGGTCTACCCCAGATCATGAGTCAAAATAAACTCTCCTTTCCTTAATTTTACATTGTCATTTATTTGGCTACAGCAACCAGAAGAGTAATACATATATAAGTCTACCTGCACCTCAATTATCCAGTAAAAAGAGTAGATTAGGATGATTCCGAAAAAATATGAGAAGATGGTCATGAGAAACTGAAGTATTCTGGTTACAGCTTTAGTTCTAGCATTAACAATATACATCTCTTCCTAGTGCTGTGACCAAGACCACATATGTTAACGAGAGAGGTCCTTGGAATGCTGTCAACAGCTGGAGCTTCTTGTTGACTAGACATGGACCATCCTGCTGTGGTTTCTACTTGCCTTCTCAGTCTTTCTCCATCCTGAGATGCTGCACTTGAGAAATCTCCCTGCTCATTTGTGTTGTAAGCAGTAAAAATCACTGAGTGAATACTTGTGGTTTTGATTTATAGTTTGGGTGTTGGGGGATTGGGAACTCTTGGCCCCAGTGGTTTCTTAAGGTTTTCTATGTCTTTTGTGTATATGCCTTTCTTATCCTTAGGCCAAATTTGGCCAGATAGCCAAATTCTATCCTTAGGCCATCCTTAGTTCTTGCACTAGTAACACCTGGATAATTAAAAAAAAAAAAAACAACAAAAACGAATTTGGGCCTGGGGATGTGGCTCAGTTGGTAATGTACCTGTCACACAAACATCAGAACCTGAGTTTGGATCTACAGCACTTACACAAAAGTCAGGCAGGACAGCATACTGTAACCTAAACCCTAAGGGATGGAGAAGGTGGAGAGCCATATTGGAAAATACCCAATAGCCACCTTTGGTTTGTATACATATATACACTCATGTGTGTACACAAAATGTACTCATATACATAGACACATCTTATGAATTTTTATATATTTTAAACACACGGTCTCACTTTTCACTGTGCCAGCGAAGCATGGTGATTAGGAGTGGTGGCTTCTTACTCCATGTTCAAATCTAATCCCTTTCACTAATGACTGTGTAACATGGTCAAAACATTCACGTTCCCTCTTCTTCAGTCTCCTTAATTATGAAATAAGGATGATTTTCGTATCTACCCTGCTGTGACCTGAATGTCTATTTGCTTCCCAAATTCTCATATTGAACATATTACCCTCAAGCCAGGTGGTGTTTGCCTTTAATTCCAGAACAAGGGAGGTAGAGGCAGGTGGAACTCTTTGAGTCCCAGGCTAGCCTGGTCTATGTAGTGAGTTCCCGGAGAGATAGGGCTGTGTAGAGAGTTCCTCTTTCAAAAGACAAACAAATGAACAGAAAACCTTACCGGCAAAGTGTGGGAGTTTGGGAAGTATTTAGACTATGAGTCTCCATGAATGGAACGAGTGACCTTGTACAAAAGACCCAAGGAAATTCATTTATCCCTGCTCATATGGAGCACATTACAAGACAGAGCCTTACATGCCGACCAAGCTCACATTAAATAACCACCTATTGGTACTTTGATCCTGGACCTCTCAGTTTCTAAAGCAGTGAAAAGGTTGTTTTTTGCTTACAGACTGCTTATTTCTATGATAGTTTGCTACAACAGCCAAAATCTCTTAAGACATTTTGTTATGCTCTGAATAGTAAAGAAATCACATAAATTGATGAGAATGCAACTTAGCACATAGTGAGGATCGTAACATGTTATCAAAGTTTCTTAGTGTATCTGTTAACATGCAAGTGAGGCATAAATTCTCACTGCTCTTCTGCAGTAAAGAACCCTGAAACCCAAAGGGTTAAGTGTCTTACCTATGGACATATTTTAGAGGCAGTATAGAGAAAGAAATGCAACACAGATATAATTTCAAAATTCATGGCCTTGTGCTACTATGTATTGTCCTAATTTTTCTTTGAGGTGGGAGAGAAAGTTGTCAATATGACTACATATTACTATGTACATGCATAAGTAGCTCTATGGAGAGAGGATGATTTTAGTGTGCAGCTATGGAATCACCTCCCATATTTTAGAGTCACATCCTTTGCACAAAGTAGACAAATTAGCTTCACGCTCTCTGAAAGTTGAGTTCTCAAGATGTGGGGTCACTCTGCCTTTTAACACTCTCTGGCTAATCTCAGCCCAGGGTGGTTTTGACAAGCCCAGGATTACCCATTATATTCGGTTGTGTTCCTGCATCTCACCCACAGGTCGATTTTCAACACCTAATTCTATCTAATCAACATAAGCTTCTTTCAGATGCAAGCACTTTGCAATTTGAAATGCAAAAGGACCTGCCATGGAGCAATTATGAATATTAAGTGTATTGCTCTGAAGGATGAGGAGAGGAGCAACTCAGAAACTTTTTAAAGCAGATCATGATCTGAAAGTGCACGGCCCCTATGATATTTCCTGAAGATTCATAAATCTTTTAATTAGATGTATGAGCTTTAGAGAACTTCACTTTTATAAATCATAAATTGATTGCCAAAATGATGCATATTTAAGAAACACTTTGTTTTTCAAGTGACTGAAAAAAAAAGAATGCCAAAAATGGATGGCACAGTTAAGGAATGAACTACTATTGAAGGTTTAGAAATATGGCGCTTCCAGATTTGAATGTTCACAAGTCAAAGATGGAAGTTCTGCTGGGTGTTATGACACATGCCTGTCACCATAACAGCTGGAAAGCTCAAACAGGAGGATTACAAGTTTCAAGCAGGCCTTGGCTACACTGTCAGACCATGCCTCAAAAAAAGAAAAAAAAAATAAAGCAGATCACAGAGAAATAAAACATCAAAACAGAAAGTTCTTTAAATGGATGGTTTCACAAACACAAGCTAAGAAATCATGGGCAGCTGTTTTCAGCTCAGCGTTCTCCACACCTTCTCTTAGGTATCTGTAAAGACGAGGGAAAGGATGGGGAAAAGCTCGTTACCTTTATTTTCCCAGTCAGGCCACCAACAAACAGCATTGCATTTGCATCCACATCCAGAATTGTGTACCCTGGAGGGGACACTGAGTGGTAGGTGCTGGGCACAATACTGGCTTTGGGCCCATCTAGAGCTCTCACAGAAATGGAACCATTTCTCCCCGTTCTTCAATACATGTGTGTTGCAATAAAAGGAAAGAAAATACAGAACATGAAGTATGAATCATATTCTATCCCCTGCAGATGTCAAAGACATAAAATAGAAAAAGCCATCTCGGAAAACTTCTGAGCACTGTGTGTTTAGGTCCAAGCGAAGTCAGCACTTTGCAAGTCACTTCCAGATTTGATCTTTGCTAAGCACTTACCATCACAGTCAAATAAGGAAAGAACAACATAACCCAGTTCTGTATATAGCCATTGATAAGGAAGGACAGCAGCAATTAGATGATGGAATTATTATAGATCAAGAAGAAAGCATTTCCCTGTTGCTTAAAGTAATAATTTGTTGTTTTATAAGATATGAAACTTAAACACATTTTCTAACTTCATTGAGTATTTTGTCAAATTTAATTCAGCAAGTGGAGTCCTAATGAGCCACCCTTATGCAGAACAAGCTGCATAATTTTGCCTAAAATTCTTTATAATGGATCTTAATTTGTTGAAGTAGTCTTCCCGGAACTGTAGGTCTCATTGTTTGTCATATCATCTTAATGTATAGAGCAAGTAACTAGTCTGCTGAGTTGTGCATACAAATTTGTAGAAGTACACTTTTAAATTAAGTTTAAAAAACTTTGAAAGCTATTATCATTTTATTCCACTTTCTTTTTTAAGTGATTGATTTCTATGAGTTGTTAAATATGAAAATCTGGTCTCTTCCGAGACAAGCAGTCATAACAAAACTTCCCCAAGTCCCTCTCCCTTCTGTCTCATTTTGGTAAACTCTCTCTTGGAGGAGGCAGAGCTAAGTGTAACATGTGGGAACAAAGAATGGATTTGATCACCGAGAGTTCTTGAAAAGAATGAATCTCTTCTGATAGAACTCTACTTTGTGAGAATAAATGGCCTTAAACTGAGCAAAGTACTCGATCACTCCAACACTCATGTGGGGGTGAGCACAGCTTTATCCTTTCTCTTCCCACCCCCATTTAAAATAGCATGGATGAATCTCACACATTAGATATGGGACCCAGTATATTGACATAGAATAGGTCTGGAGTTGCAGTTATGACATAGACTAAAAGGTAAACTGAGTATACAATGATAACAGTGAAGATTTATTATGCTCTTTTATATATTTAAAAAGAACATGTAGCTGTATTTTTTTTTCTCCTCAGGTGAGATAAGATGTCTGAGATAGCTTTGCTCTCCCCATTCCTGCTCTTAGCAGAAAACAGATTAAGGAGTTAGAATTGAAATAGATTCTCTGGTTTATGCCTTGAAAGCAGGTCTTTACCTAACAGGATGACAAATGCATTTTCTCACACATTTATACACATAGCATATAACCTTTGTACAAACATGGACACTCACACACAGGTATGTTATTGAAATGGCAGTAGAATTTTTCTCATAAACTAGGAATTTACTTCAAAACTTTGCTATCCAGTTATCTTACTCTTTATTGAGAAGTTACCTTGAGGCTTCAATACGGTACCAATATGAGTCATCAATGGTCAAATCTGGATACTCTACACGACCAACTCCAGATCCAACATCCCAGAGGAAGCTGACTTTGCCTTTACGCATTTCTATAGCAAGAAAGTCAATCTAGATAAAAAAAAAATATGGAAATGACCTGCTTTAGAACAAAGCACTCTGAAAGAGGAGGTTTGGGCAGTGTTTTCCAAAGACAGGTAAAATAATTGGATTGAGATTTCTTCTTAGTTAGACACAAGATATTGTCTTTTATCCAGAGGTGGCTGCTGTGGTAATTGATAACAAAAGGTGAGACAGGCTCCCTCACGTGAATAGGAAATGCTTACTTAGGACACAACCAGTGTGTCTAAACACCTTATCTGCCTTGGAAGATCTGCACACAAGAGAAGTCAGGCTAACTTTAGTGGGTGAGAGTTTGCAGGGTAATTTCAGTTTGAATCATAGATTCAACACGTTGCAAGTGTTTGCCTTGGTTAGAATTTATGTACAGGTTGTTATTTGCACTTCATTAACACAAAAGGTTATTATTATTTCTTAGTTTGAGAATAGGAAAAATATTTTATTCCCATTAGTTTTTTTATTAAATGAATAGATCTGAAAATATAATGCAAAAATAGATATTAGTGCACTGACACATAAAAAGAAATGTTCCCAGAAGTGGTAAAGAATTATACCTGTTCATCTTTCTAATTTAAATGACAGTGCAAACATTTGCCAGCTAAGATTCTGAGATTTCAGACACAAAAGGCTACACTAGACACTCTAGGGGCCCAGTTGCTAGGTTCAACTTATTTCCCCCATTAACTTCTTACCTCTACACATACACAGTAGCTTTAGGAAAAGTTTCATATTCGACTTACAAATTTGACGCTTCCAAGATAAAAAAGGAGGTTGTCCGCCACAGTAGTCTTGACATTGACAACAATGTTATTGTAACTTCCTTTCTTGATTTCTGGCTTGTATGTGCGAATACAGTCACCTCCTGAAGACACAGATACTTTGATCTTCAAGAAAAACAAGACACAAAATCCTGTGAAACCCTATGACTAAATCTCTTTGTAAGTTTGAAGTTCATCCCAAACCACTGCCAAATCATCATTACTCTTTTCTTTGAAGTAATTTTTCAGTCACCAAATAGAATCATTAAATGTCCATATGCAGGTATCATTATGTTGATTAGGCAGGGCACAGATAATTGGTTCTTTGCTAGCTTTTTTCCAATGATTTGCTCATGATTCTTTCTATTGCTTGTTAGGGTGCCACTCTTTTTGAAGCAAGAAGCTAACCAGTTCTTACCTTTATGCCATTCTTTAAGACACTTTTCCAAAGAGGGTTTTATGTAGTACAAATAGAAATGATCTTCATTGAAGTTATTTCATAAAGAATTTTAATTAAAATTTCAGTGATTTGGATATCATTTAAAAAGGGACCCAGATTTTATTCAGTCTTCAAGAGGGTACTGCTAGCCCACCCATGCCCTTACAGTTCAAAGAGGCCAAGAAGAGTTAGTTCTAGATCTTCTAACAATAAGAATATTAATCATTCCTCTCAGGATATATATTTCAGAATAAATTACACTTATTATTAGGTTAGCAGGAAATGAAATGGAAATAATTTCCAAATGTCTATCACTACTAATACATATAACAGCTCCTTTCCCTTCTCAATAGTACTTCAAAAATTACTATAAATTGCTAAGAAAGGAATTCTTCTGTGAATCGAATGGCAGTGTTCATGCCAATTTTTACTTCGATTAAATGAGACTTCGTTCAGTCACAAATAGCACTATTTGATTATTAGATTTAATTTCTTTTGGGTCAGGTGCAAAATCACCATCAGTAATTGCTGCTTTGCTGCTTGAGAGTGCTAGGCAGGGAGAAGAGAAGATGTGAAACCTACTTTGCTTATTGTTCTGATGTCTATCAAATTGGAGGTCTAGCTAGCTAACTTCAGGATGCCTACTGTCCTTACTAGTTGTCAGTTCCCATTTGTTCATTTGTTCCTGCACTTTTTGCTACTCACACAGTTTTCACAGTTGAGAAAAATCAACTAATATTATTGTTAGCCACATAAAAAAACTTGTTTAGACCTTGAGTAAGATGGACTAGGCTACTGAAATGCTCTCCATAGTTTGGTAAGGTAAGAGGTATCCCCAGGAGGCTCACGTTGGGTGTTGAGGGTAGGGAGCATTGTAGAATTTTTCTATGGAAGGGGAAGAGTAGCTGGAGGAGATCCTAGATACAAAATGATTTATATTGAAAAAAAGAAACTCAAGGGGGACTGTTTGGCTCTGACAAATAGAAGATTCACATTTGTTTCTGGGAATTTCCGGGGAAAGAACAAATCTAATGGTTCTCCTGCTGACTCAACAGAGGCCTGTATTTAACAAGTGTCCCTTCATCTGGTCTCTAAGCACATTGTGTCTCTACATAGCGGAAACTGTTCTGCAAAGGAACTGGCTTTGTGTGGTCACCTGAACTTGCAGTGTTTTAGGAAGCCACCTGGTTGTGCCTTTGCCTCCTGCAAATATGTGATTTTACCTGGCAATGGATGGCTTAGAACTAGGGATCACCTTGGACCTGTGGATATTTGCTTTGTGTCCCTATAAGCTGGTCTTGGTTGTGTGATTTCCAGTCAGGAAATCAATTTTTTGTTTCTCCTATGGTAGAATTTCCCTTCTATATGGAATTCTGAGAGTAGTCAAATTAAATGAATTCTAGAACTCCTGAGGCAGGGAATGTACAGGCTTTACTCTAGAGCTAGTACTATGAGGCAGATGTGCAGCTTGAGTGGGGAAAAGTCATACAGCAGAATAGCAGCACTGCAAAGAGGTATCTGGGGTCAGAGATTAAAGGGATAAAACATCAGAAGGGAAAGACCCTATAATAGAGGGTGGTTTGAAAAAAAATGCAGTCATCTGATATTTTTTAATGTTGAAAGAAAGGTATAATACACAGTGAGTTTTGAGGAATTTGCAGTGAATGAACCAAAACCTTCCTGAGAAAAGACGGTGGTACTGAACAAATGTAGAATCTAAGGAAGGTTATAACACCATTGATACCTTAAGAGGATCAAAGAGAAGAAGGAGTAAAAGATCTGACTGGCATACATGAATAGAATTAGTTATAGATGCAGTCACCCCTGGTGGAAAACCATATTCAAAATCATAGAGGCTTTTGATTAGCATTGGAAAGTAACTGTGTGTCATTTTTTTAATCATTACATCATATGTTCATTTATAGGCTTAGCTCTAAAGCCATGTTATCATTGGTTGAATCAGAAACAAATTATGTTTCTTTAAAAAACACAATGAAATAATTCTTCTTGGCTGTGGTGTGGGGATACAATGACTATGTGAAATATGAGATGAGTTTCAGACATTGTCTACAGAGCTGAGGCAGCGGTAACTGATCACACAGTTGATGCACTAGAAGGGGTGGGTGGTCGCGCCAAATGTGGAGACAACCCCAACTGAACTGACAAATCGCTGATTGAGAACCAAGTCATTGAGTGTACCCACTTCAAAACCAGACATACTGAATCTTACCAGCAATTTGCAAACTAAAGTCTATTGGACACTTTTCATATCCATAAAGTTCGTTTTTCTGAAGAAAAGGACAGTGTTATACCCAGTACGCCCGATAATTTTACAAAGTCACCTGTTGCTCAGTTCTTACCTACTCTTATAAAAACTCAGTAATCTTGCTGATTTTTCTTTCTGAATATACACTGAATACCTGGAATATTCCAGTAGCCCAACTGTTTACAACTAGATCATAACCACAATTTTATTCTTGAAAATACCATGTTTTGACTTCCAATGGGTGAATGGCTCAGTGGTAGGGCATTGACTGCATATGAACAACTTAAACTACTTCAGTCAAAACATAACACTTACACATTGCTTTAAAAGAAACCCCTTGGACAAACATCACTCTTGCAAAGATGATGGAGGAGGATTATCTGTCTATGTGTTACTTTCATTGGTTAATAAAGAAACTGCCTTGGCCCTTTGATAGGACAGAAAATTAGATAGGCGGAGTAAACAGAACAGAATGCTGGGAGGAAGAAGGCAGTGAGGCAGTTGCCATGACTCTCCTCTCCAAGACGGATGCCAGTTAGAATCCTCCTGGTAAGCCACCACCTCGTGGTGCTACACAGATTACTAAATATGGGTTAAAGCAAGATGTGAGAGTTAGCCAATGAGATGCTATAGATAATGGGCCAGGCAGTGTTTAAATGAATACAGTTTCCCTGTAATTATTTCTGGTAATGCTAGCCGGGCAGGTGGCGAGAAGCAGCCCGGCGTTCTTACTACACAAAGAGGCATGAAAGTTCAGAACTGCAAATATTTGGTTGGGATGTTCAGTTCTGCCAATTACTGTATTCTGGTGTAGCTTCATAGTAATGCTCATGAAATTACCACTAAGAAGTCAATGTCTCCAAGGTGTTCCTGGCACGACATTATTCACCAGCTAATCACCGTAAACATAATTAAACTTTGTTGGATATCTCACTGCTCAATGGACTGGATTTGCACTGCGTTTTTCATCAGGTAATTAGGCCATTCATGTAAACACAGTATGAGTTACTCAATTATGCAATCAACAAGCTGAAATAAACCACTTTAAAATAATCACACTTAGTTCCTTAATTAGGAAACATCTAACTGGGCTGGCAAGATGGGTCAGTAAGTAAAGGTGCTTGTTGCCAAACCTGACGACCTAATTTTGATTCCCAGGACAAGTCTTGTACCATATCTCAGAGAGCTGCTGAGGCTAGACAATGTATGAAAGGGTTGGAGTTTGGCAAGGATGCCCTAAGATGTTTCTGCTTGGATCTGTGAAGATAAAACCTAAGTTACAATAGAGACCTCAGGATGTTAGACATGTCAGAATCATAAGATGTCCACGGACAGAAACTCCTGGAATGCAGAAGAACCAAAGAGAAAGGCTGTGTGTTGTAGGGTACAGAGGAGAGGATTACCCAAGCCTTTTGTAGGTCAGAATATTCCATTATGAATGACAGATGCTAAACATGGAGCCTCAGGGTACTCTCTTTGCCCTGTTGCGGTTCTGCCTTTCTTCAAGCAAATCATTCCTGCCAAATCTTCCGTTCTTCTCCTTCAGAACAGAAATGCTTATCCTGCTTCAGTATTTACTATAAGTACGTATTTTTCCCCCTGTCATTTTATTGGGGCTCACTATTCAGAGTTAGTATTGTGTCACAGAAAATTCTTTCCAATATAGCTGAAACTGTCAGAGAATTTGGAACTTTAGAGTTTGGGTTGAAAGTATTTTACACCAAGAAAGTGAAGAACCTAACAGGTACCTGGATGGGAAAAGTGATGTATTTGATCATCAGGTTCCCAACGAGTAGAGCTGTGATGCCTGACATTGGTTTTCAATGTGAAAAGATGTAGTCACTGAAGTGAAAGTGTCTAGCTCGCCTGTAGGTGATCACCTAGCCTAGGTGAAGTGCGGAAGACCAACTCCAGTGTGGGCAGTACCATCCATGGGCTGGGATTCTGAATTGAGCCAAGAGGAGAAGCAAGCTGATCACAAGCATCCATCACTTGCTTCTTGACTGTAGACTGTGTGCCACCAGTCGCTGCCTGCTCCCAGGTGACCAATAGCTCCCTGCTGCTAATGTGACCAACTGCTGCCTGCTCTCGCTGTCCTGTCTTCTATGCCAAGATGAACCATATCCCTGGGGAGTATAAGGCAAACAACCCTCCCTCTTTCCTTAATCTGCTTGTGCCAGGTATCCTTTTGCAGTGACAATACAAGAAACTACTACAAAGTCCATTTTGCCTGCTCCATTGTCAACTTTCTGAGTAGAATACCTGACTAGTTCATCTTCGCAAACTTCACAGGGAAAAGCACTGAACATAGAGGTGGATTTTCACTGTGTAAGTCTCTGAATAAGCTTGTAACATCGGGCTTCATTTTACCATGTGCATAAAGGGCATAGTAACTTCTTATCAATCACACTACACGGTTTTCATGTTATAGGTGAATAGGTGTCTTCGCAGATAGTATTACTGTGTCCTTATATTACCCCATCACCTCTAATCTGTTGGCTTCTAAGATTTTTTCAATAAAAAAGATATTTTTCAGTGTTCACCTGGAACATGATTGTCATGGTCTTATTTAGATGTCTTAGGTACATATAAGGAAGGGCAAGTATATACTGTCACTCAGACAGATTCTTGCCCATTACTAAAAATATAAATTGATAAACTAAAACAAACTTCTTTCTGACCATCCTAGCTACCACATTTTCTTTTAAAAAATATTTTATGGAAGTTTAGGTTAAAATTGACAATATTAAAAGGTATCTTATTAAAATTTTGCATCTCCAAAGTCATCATGGTTTGACTTTACATATCTAAAGTTTCATATTGGCATTTAAGCGTTCCAGTTAAGGGCCAGTGAGGAAGAGTCCTTGCCTCCAGCCTGACAGAGTTAAATTCCTATGACGTACAGGGTGGAAGGAGAGAACTGACTTCTCCATGTCCTCAGACCTCTCATGTACACTGAGGAACATGCTTGTACACAAACAAAGCAAATAAGTAGGACTGGAGAGGTTAAGAGCACTGGCTGCTCTACCAGAAGTCCCGAATTCCATTCCCAGAAACCACATGGTGGCTCACAGCCATCTATAATGAAATTGGATGCTCTCTTCTGGCATTTAGGTGTGCATGCATGTACATGCAGATAGAGCACCATATACATAAAATAAATATATCTTTAAAAATAAACAAAAAGCAAAACCAAAGAACTAAACATTTAAATATCACAGTTCTTTAGCATTTTTTTAAGAGAGGTCTATCTGTCAGAATAGTTTTCTAATTGGGTAAATAGAAAGTAAAAGTTCAGGCCAGATATTTCCTATTTTTACTTCATAAATATAAAAAGAAATACTACAACAAAAGTAAGTTGCTGAGTTTTTTTTTAAAAAAAACAAGCAAAAGCTATATTGTACCTAATTAAAATAATGGTTCCATTTCTCCTACTATTGTTTGTGAATTCAGGTTGCAACCTACTCATTGGTTATATTTTTTATGAGTAAGACACTCTCATTGTTCCTTTAAGTAAACAAGAACAAGCTTGTTTGGTTTGTGTTGTTTGCTTTAGTATATTAAAGTATCAACAAAATATTACAGATTTCCTAATTCTGTAAAGTAAGAAAACCAGTAAGTACCATCTATCATTTTTCTTAAATTGTTTTGAAATTTATAGGAAAAATGTGTTGTTTCTTTCTTCCTACCTTCCAAAACAGCCTCCAGTTCAAGAGGTCAGAGATCATTTATTCAGCAAATTCATTGGGGAAAGCTTTCCCTTTGGGAATAACAGTAAGACGTATACGTAGCTCTTAATTCTGAAAATAAGATCTTACAGAATTGGCTTGTTTCCGGGCTTGGTTGATCAGTTCCTTTATTTCAGAGATGTTCTTCTTTAGGTTATCCTCAAGTTCCTTGATGGGCTTGAGTTTGTCTATCAGCCGATCAGCTTCCTGTTCTAGATTTTTCACCGTAGCATCTGCATCTGCAACTGCATAGAACAAAATGAGCATTTGTGTATGTGGGGTGTGCATGTACTACCCCCCCCCCCACCAGAGATAGGTGCCGGAACAGCAGTGGATTTATTAAGTTATTTCATTTTATACGTGTGACAAAAGCAAGACCATGATGGCTGACAGGATGCTTGAGGCCAGCTGTGAATATTTTAGCTGAGATTAAAGCAGGCCAGAGATGTTAGAGGAAGATTTTGGCTGAGCGATTGAGATGAAAATTGGCATTAAGAATAGAAGATCTGATAAGCTTAAGCAGCGCTGACCTTTGAGCCTCAAAGTTGACCTTTTACAGGATAGAATTTATTCACAGAAAAATGAAAATGGGGTGTCTTTAAAGTATCACCTGCTCTGCCTCCACGCAAACCACATTAAAATCCAGGTTCTTGTGCAAAAAGCTTTTTGAACTACATTTAGACTGAAGGCCTCTGTTATACCTTAATTAAATCGTTCAAACTTCATTTCAATCCCACTCTATATTGGTAGAATTAATATTACACTGTCTTTTTGTAGGTTATAAAAAAAGTTGAATACTTACAGTGTTGAGCGGCTCAACCTGTAAAGGGTTGAAGATTATCTGAGCCATAGACATCTAGTATGTGCTCACATGGCAATGGGGTAAGGTGGGGGGCTCGGGTATATAGAATGTGGAGAGCCCATTATTCAACTTCTGTGATGCCGCCAGTCTTAACCAAACTATGTCATCTGTTTTCTAACTGAGTTTGCATTATTCAGCTCTCTGCTATTGTGACCCTGAAGAACTCTTCAAGGTCCAAGGCCATCAGCCCTGCTAGACTATGACAAATCTGCTCCTTGACTGGTGTTGGGCCACTGAGAACTAGTTTTTAGGATTGAACTCAATATGCTCACATGGACAGAAATAATCATTCCATTTGGTTTGGTCCATGCTGAAGCCAGAACCCAGGGCCCAATTCTTGATAGACAAGCAGTGACCACTTTTTGTGGTCCTCATTCCACATACCAGCATCTTTAAACTGTATTCTGAGGTAGGTGATTTGGACTCATACACATTAATATGGGCTGTATTCTTTGTGGAATCTAAAAAGAATATGCAACTATTAACATTTGTAGGGTTACTAGATCAAGACTCCAGTGTTTTGTTTGTTTGTTTGTTTGTTTGTTTTTGTTTATTTGTATGCTTGGTTTCTCTGGAAATGCAGGTTGCCTGAGTCAAAGCCCTTGTCATATGGGTAGTATGCCATTGCTACCCCCGTGTTTTCTGTAATTGTCCAGTGTTCCAGTGTTTTCTTTTACTTCTAACTCTCTAGTGTTATTTTATATTCTACAAATTATTCTAGAATTAAGGAAAATGGAGTTTTAAAGCAAGATTCACAGAAAGAGAAAGAGAAGTTAAGCTAAGGCTACTGGGGCAAGATAAATATTAGACTTATTTCTCCTAAATCTTCCAGAAGCCTTTTCAAATGCCTCAAAATGGAACTGGAGGTTTTCCTCCTTCCTTTGCCTCTACTTTCAAAGCTTTTTAAGCCATGTGGAAACTCTCTTCCTTCGTCTGTGAGAACTGACTTGTGTGTGATGTCAAGTCTAAGACTTCTTGCTTAGTAACGTTTGAACATGTTCTCATTTTCTCCCTTAATTGTCTGGGTAAGTAGATTTTAAATAGCTCCTCCAGTGAGATTTTGATAAATGGATGCTTTCTGGAAGATTATCATCTGTATGTTGTAGGCTCTAAAATTTACCAGCATGGCGCTTTCCCAAGTATTCTCTTTTCTATTATATTTTCCCGTTTATCTACTTCAACTGCCCTTTGGAATCACCTAGTTGTCCTTTATTTCTCAAGGTTAAGCCGGCTAATTATCTGTCTTATTGTTTTTCATACTCTAACTTATTAATTGGTTAGCTGTTTCATCATGTCAGTTTTATTTTTCCAACACACTGAGCAAAGGCTTAAAACTTTTCTTCAATGCTTGCACAGTAATGCAATTCTTCTATAATATTTTCCACAGAGGCCAACCTTGATCACATTCCTTAGATTTCGATGTTTGATTTTATTATCATTTTCCCTACTTATTTGGAGTGCTGTGACATTCTGCCCAGACTCTGAAATGTCCAAGAGTCAATATTTTTATACTTAAGTGAGTTGCTCACTTGTTTAGAAACAGTTTTATATCAAGAAGAATTGCTTAGAACCCATTTAATTATGAGAATAATTACTTAAATGGAGAGAGGGGAAGTGAGCTTGGTGGGTGGCAACAACGTAGTCAATCTTAGCTCCTTTAACCCATGTGCAGGGAGGACTTCTGAGCCCAGTGGATGAATTTGTACTATCAGAGACACTAGTTTTTCTCAGTCTGTTGCAAAATCCAATTTTACACTTCTATGTGGATACGATTAAAATATTTCATTAGGTTTCCATAGCACTAGTAAAACATTTTATGCCAAATATATCTGCCTATTAGTCTCACTGGAGGCATATTCTTTTCATGTATCTACTATTAATTGGTGATAGTGTAAAGAAGAGCTGTGCAGTGTTTAAAGCAGCCCCGTATATGGTCACATGCAAAACTGAAGCTTTTTGCAATAAGCAGAGAAGCATTAAGATTATTAAAAAGCATAGAAAAACATATACATACTTATTTCTGCAGGTAATTTCATATGGAAGTAAAAAAAAAGAAATTAGAAAATTCCTGAGGAAATATTTTCTACAGGTATTATATAGTACCAAAAAGTAGCATTTCTAACTAATGTTCTTTATAAATACATTTTTAATTCAAATAGTATTATCAGATAAAATCATACAAAACACGATTAAAATATATTTCATGAAAACAACTTAATTCTAAAAAAATGGGAAAATGCCCTTTAGCAAATTGTTCACAAGGAAGAAAATGTCATTAAGATAAAGAAAATATTTAATTAATATTTACCAATAAATGTTTCTTTTAGTGGAAGATGTAATCAAACCAGCAACAATGTTATGAGAAAGATATCATCAGCTGAGCAACCTCAACTAGAACAAAATGATACCTTAAATCATAGCCTAAGTGAAATAAAATTGCTAATTTACATTTAAATCTGTGTTCTTCTGATTTGGAGAAGTCTTGTGGAGTACCAGAAGAGGTAACTTAGGCTGTTGCTGAAACACATAGAACTGTTTCTGTGTCTACATAAGAGAAGTAAAATTTATGTTTTTCCTCTATCTTCCTGGAAGAAATGGAGTCAGTCTTTCTTTGTCCCAGATCTGAAGTATGGTGTGGGAAAATTTTATGTATTCTGTCAATCATATTTTAAATAAATGCTGATTGGCCAGGCAGGAAGTATAGGCGGGAAAACAAGACAGGAAGTAGAGGTGGAGCAAAGAGAATGGGAGTATTCCAGGAAGTAGGAAGCTCCCTCCGCCATTCCTGCCCAGATCACCAAAGAAGCAACATGTGAGCTGACAGCTGAAAAAGGTACCAAGCCATATGGCTAACGTAGATAAGGATAATGGGGTAACATATGTTATAAGAGCTAATAAGTAGCCTGACCTAATGGGCCAATCAGTTTATAACCTAATGTAGACTATGTGTGATTTTCTTTGGGACTTGCCGGCTGTGGGGTAATGGGTGGGACAGATACCCCAACAAGCTGGCCCCTCATGTTACAGAAGTATATCATTTTCTGTGCTGATTTCCCCCTTGCCCAGGAAGCTGTCACAAGCATCCTCCTGTGTCATCATCATAGCAAGGAAGGTCTCATTCATCATGGCATCTTTAGCATCTGAGTTGAAGTGGCGACACTCAGATCTGCCTCCACTCTAAAGTCGCCACCCTTCTGATACCACTACTTCTGTCTGCATATCCTAGAAATGTTCTTATACCTTATAAAAACTCTGCTAGATAGTTTAGTGCTTTTCAAAACAAAATAATAATAATAATAAACCAAACCCAACAACAACAAAATTCCAAAAAACAAAAACAAAAACAAAACAAATAAACAGTCATCTCCCTTAGAGAAATTATATGCCAAGGTGCTATCTTATCCTGAGATAAAAGTACCACCAATATTTAGTGACTAAACGTAACTAAAAATATAAATCATTACACTTAATTTTTTCAGATTTCTCAATAAATTCTAACTAAGTCAATGAATTTGATGCCATATCTGAGTGATGCAAAGATTCAGTCGTGACAAAGTAACTAAATGCTTTATTTCCTGGAAATATTAGTTGACTGGACTTTAAATAATACATGCGGAGAAATTCTAGACATTGGTACATCTTAAGGTGATGACTTTCTCGAATGGGGCAGTTAGTGAATGTGCCCCCTTAAACTCTACATTCTATGCAACTCCAGTCCTAAGCACAGTCACCTGTGCGTAACTGTACTTTCAATTACACTAACAGATTAAAATGGGGCATCCACATATCAAATCGCATGTAAACCTCGAGAATTTCTAGCCTCCTCCTGATTGAGTGAAATTAAATTAAAAAGGCTCCCATGCAAAGCTCAAAGACGTGGGTCCTGGAATGGCAGGACCTACACTTTTCACTTCCATACTAGGAAGGAGAGGGTATGAGCTTCAGGGTTTTATCTGGCTCTACCACTCATGAATCCGGGCCACTTTCACGGTGAGACAAAATAAATGACACTATTGGAGCGAGAAAGGAAATCTTACTGTTTCTAGAAGGGTCTTTCACGACGGCGTTCGTTTTGGCCACACTGTCTGCGAGTTTATTGTAGTTTTCCCTCAGGCCGTCGAGGTTCTGGTGCAGATCTTTAACCTGGGCCAGGACAGCTTTCGCTGTGTCGTTGGCTTGTCTGGCCTTCTCTTTGACAGCTTGCAGCTTAGCCGTCGTGTCTGTTGGTACAAATGGGCATGAGAAAGAAAACAAAGAAAAGACATGGGACGAAGCATCCGTGCTCGGCAGAGAGAGGCTGTGGCTGGCTGACCTCAGGGACACATTTACACAGAGTAAAGTCTGAACTGTGTTTCAATCAGTTGTAGCAAATGAAGCAAATTCTTTAGCTAAATTAAATTTTCCCAGGGACCTTTGTGATGAATACATGATTATTCTTTAAAATAGCAAAGCGATTATTCTCTAAGTTTATATTTTAGGGGTATATTGTGATTTGCTGCTGAGCATATTAAAGGCAGGAATTCATATACATGGCTCACGTAGTTTCATTAAAACTAGAATTAAGATTTAATCTGTATATCTGCAGGAGGAAAATGAATTTGTTTTAATTTTGGGATAGAATTTTTGGGACTGTTAGAGTCTATGAGTGTTCTATTTGCTTTTTGTATTGATACTTCAATGTATCCTAAGTAGTCAAAAGGTTCCATGAAAAGTTAATAAAAGTAAAATGTGTTTAAAATTTAATAATGTGTCCTTATTTATGGATCATAATTTGAATGTAAAACATTTTTCTGGTGGTTTGAATATAAAATGATTTTGAAGGTTCCTGTGTTGAAGGACTTGTCCCCAGAGCTGAGGCTTTGGGAAGTGTTTGAACCACGAGGTCTCTGCCTTCATCTATGGATGAATCCACCGACAGATTAATAATTTGATGGAATATTGGGGTTGGTGGAAATGTGAAAGGTGGGGGCAGAACTGAGGAAGTGAGTCACCGAAGATATGTGTTTGAAAGGTTTACATGATTCCTCATCTCCTTTTTCCGCCGCTCTCTCTGCTTTTTGGCAACTGGTGAGTAAAGTACCCTGTCCTTTGCTGCGCATCCCCACCACTGTGATACTAGGTCTTACCACCTGGCCGTATTTGAGGAGTCAACTGTCTGTGCACAGAAACCATACAAAGTATGGTTTCAAAGTCAAAGTAAATCTTTTTCTTTAAGCTGTTTAAATCTGTGGTTTTCTTTTTTTAAATTTCAGAGATATAAAGTGACTAGTACAATTGTACAAACAGATCCACGGTTGTGCGTCTGTACTGCTGGGGAAGGCCATAGGCTGTGAAGATAAACTGTAAGGTTCAAATCTCATAAACATCACTTTAGGCAATGGCCTTTAGTATTCTGTTTCTCAGCTTCTCACTTGCAAAGTGAAAATAACAATTCTACCCACCATGGAGAATAAGCATGAGAGATTAGCGTGAGATAACACATGCTTATCAAATTATATTGATTAGTAAGTCCTTATAATTCAGTGTAGCCTAGTAGCAAAATATAAAATTAGTATCCCTAAAAGAATTTGCACTGTCTAGAACTAATATCAAATAATAATTTTAAATCGTTTTAATAGACTGCATGATATTACAAAAATGGGTTGACCACTACTGTTTTTGAAATCTGGAGTAGCTAAGGAGGACACTTTAGCCAAACAAGACATAAGAAATGGCCAATGCTCTTATCTGTTGTGAAGAGACTCTCGTAAATTGTGACTTTATAGTAGTACACTAATATAGAGAACAATCCATGTATGATTTTATTCTTTCTTATTAATACAAAAGAGTTCTCAGACTGAAACAAGCATGGGAATATAATAACATGACTTCAATATCTTCCTTGATACAATATGTTCCTATGCATGCCAGCTAAAAGTAACAAAGGATAGCACCATCATATTGTCAAATTGTGAAATGTAGTTCTGATTCTCAAAAGAATAATTCATAATTAAGAAAACCTGTATCTGCTATTTTATGAGAGTAGAAATGTAATGTTAGGAAAGTGGTCAAAGCTACCAAGATTCTGTCGTAGTTCTGATCACCTGATGCGGAGTGCAGGACTGTGGGGCTTACCATTCGGAATGACTGACAACTTGCCCAAAGTGTCATTCAAAGCTCTCAGGAGATCACCGTTTCTAGCATCAGCAGTTTCTAATCTGGTTTTCAGGCCATTTAGATCATTGTGGTTTTCTGTGAACAAAAGAAAAAATGACTTATATTATTCTTGAACATGCAAGTTCGGTTAACTTTAACACACAAATAACAAAAAGCAAGACGAAATATATACTTCATTTACTGCCATCTATCCATCCACACGCCTCTACATTAAATATGGATATTGTGACCATTTGGTATGTTAGAATGTTTAGCCATGCCATTTTCCTTTTGGTATCTGGTTTTTATGACTTAATTTTATGGTTTCCTGTGGGTTAGAAACCTTCAACACTCAGCCTTTAAGTGCGTTTTGATGATATTCTCTTGATCTCCCTCCACTGATTTTTACATATTCAAATTATATTATCAGAAATGGATCATTGGGTTAGCTTTTCAAAATCTTATATATATTCATAGATAAGAAATCCTATTTCAGTAAACATCACTGAGTATTATTTTGAACAGAAAAAAATTAGAGCAAAGGAAAGCAAAACAACCCACATAAACCTGTCATTTTTCAAAGAGAAAGCAATATATTTACAAATTCCCTCAAAAAGACTTCAGTAAAGCTTCTTTGTCTTGGTACATTAGCTTACGTTATTTTCAAAAACAATATTTTCAAGTGATGATTTAATATTAAATGTGTACACATTGACTTCTGTATCTTGTTATTTGTATTCGCACCTTTTTAACTTTATTGTAATAAGAACTACGAGGTTTAGATTTTAGCAATGTCAAAAACTTCAAAATCACTAAGGAGGAAAGATTAACACATGAATATAAAAATGTGGGCTTAGGATCTTGCTGAAGACCCATAAAAGTAAGCATATGTGGTGGTGTGAGTGAGAACTGCCCCTGCCCTCCCCAGTCCAATAGGGTCAGGTATTTGAACACTTGGTCCCTTGCTGGTACTGTTAGTGAAGTTAATGGAACCATTTGAGGAGCAGCCAGGCCTTGCTGGAACAAGTTTGACCCTTGAGTAAGGCTTTGGGAGTTTTTAGACTTGTCTGACTTCTAATTCATTCTGTCTATTTCCTGTGTGTGGATGGGAACATCACGGCAACAGAAAGAGTCACTAATGCAGTATCTTAAGACTGAAGGAGTTACCAGCCCTCTTTCCTTTTGTCATTTATAAACAATCAGTTACCTGGAGGGAGGGGAGAGGAACTTGAACTTCCCACAGGGCAGGAAACCCTGACTGCTCTTAGGGATGGAGAGGGAAGAGGAGAGGGAGTAGGGAGAGTGGGAGGGTGTTGGGAGGAGGGGCGGAAATGGAAACTTTTATAAATTAATAAACTTTTATAAATAAAAAAAATCAGTTAAACTGGCAAAGCAAATTACATAAAGTTGGCTTCACTCAATAACATTTGCCACATTTGGAAAGAAAATTGTGTGTGTGTGTGTGTGTGTGTGTGTGTGTGTGTGTGTACATGCACAAGTCTGTGTACCTATATGTACATGTGCAAACCTCTGCAGAAGCCAGGTATTAATATTGTATGTCTCAATGAACCTGGACCTTGTCATTTTGTTTAGACTAGCTGTCCAGTAAGCCTGGGAAAGCCTATTTCTGTTATCCCATACCAGTACTAAGGTACAGTAGTATTGCTACATCCCCAGGGCTTTACTTGGATACTAGGGACCCAAACTGAGTTGTTTATATTCATCCTTTATCCACTGAGCCTTCTGTTCAGCCCCTTTGAGTATATTTCTGATAGTTTATTATACCATAATGTTCATTTCCTTTGGAGACGCACACTTAATTGTTCAAGATAGCTTAACTGAGATAAAAGGCAGACTCTCCAAAAAGGAGGTACAATGAAAAAGGACAAATAAGTGGGGGTTTTATAGTCTTCTTGAAAGGACTGTCCAGCATTTTGTAATAATGGTAGGTAGCTGTCTGTGTGCTTGTGATATATACCATATGCAATGCCTGTCAGTTCTAGCCAATCACTTCCCTTCTCCCTCGCTTCATGACTTCAGGAGCAGGGATTGACAGAATGAGTGCAGCAGGCAGTCATGACCTTCTCACCTTTGCTCACACACCAGCCATTCCTCATGCTTTTCCATCTATGTGTCTCCATTTCCCTTTTCGTTTCTCATGACAGAATCGAGAGGAGAGTCACATGGAATGCGTCTATGTACAAAATGATAGACTAATATGCTAAGTTCTCCATGTAATTGAAGATAATGAAAAAAATGTGGGAAAGGTAGGTTGCAATCAATTCAAAAGAAAGAACCATTTGTGAAATCAAAATACTCAACATTAGTATGATAGAAGAACCTTAAGCAAAATAACCAAAGATAATTTTCATCTATCACCCTAATAACATGCTGTGGAACAAAGCACTTCCAGCACTATGGATATTAGATAATAGAGATGAAGGTTCAAGGTCAAGATCCGCTTTATTTCTCTAGGTTATATGAATAAAGGGTATGGTGTCATCAGAAGTAGACTCATAACATAAAGTCCTGGAGGTGATCAAGACTCTTAGCAATAGGCTGTCATATTTGGGAGCCTATGGAACCTCCCTTGCCAACAACTCTGAAAGAGGAATACACTCTTGAAACTATAATTTTAATTTGTTAGCCTCTGGATTTAGTAGGGGCATTGTTACTCCATTATTACCTAATGTCATTCAATTTAATACATATCTCAAATACATATTTCATAAACATATATATATATGTATGTGTAAATGGAGTTACCTAATAAATCATATGCATATATATATGCATGTACATATATATGTACATAAGTGTTTAGGTAAACATGTGTGCTATGAAGCCTCTATAATAGCAGGTTTTCATATGACTTTTTCAAAAGGACTTTAGCGTTAGTTATTTCTCCATGTATCTCCTCCTCTGAGCAACCTTCCCTATCCCACATAACCTTTCTAGTTTCACTAATCTTGATTATCTGTGAGCACCATGAACTACAGTTAACACCTGGCCTGGCAAGACAACCTACCAGTGCAATAGTGGCACAAATATCAAGGTAGTAACTATCTACTATTTGCTTAGATGTAAGGCCTACTTCATGCTACAAGATAAAGCTCATACCTGGTACTATTATTGGAACCAAGAAGCTTTGGCTAGACAGATCATAGGCCTTAGGAGCAAACTTACTATCTTTATTCTACTAAGTGGATTAGTTTTAACCAGGCTACTAATGACTAAATTGTTATGCCCACAGATTATAGTATCTCTTAGCTCTCATCAGAAACCACTCTAGCTTCTTTTTGCAATGGATGGTAATTAAAAGAGACCCTTAACTTGCTGATCAAGGTACAAAGAATGAGAGACTGAAGAAGAATACAGGGACATCTACACCAAACTCCTCCTCACAAGGCTCAAGAGTCACTAGTGAAGAAGGGTGAAATAGATAAGAGATAAAGGTGGTGGAGGGGTGACTACAAGGAAACAGTTTCTTACACACAACACAGAAGTTGCACACATGAGTTCACAGTGGTTGTGATAGCATGCACCAGATCTGCACAAGCTCAAGCCGGATGAAACCCTAGCATGGAGAGAAGAGGCGAGCGCAAAGTCTCAAGCTAAGGAGCTATTGGCAACTTAGGGAGACAGAAAACCAATTTTCTTTATGGGTGTGGCTCTAGATAGGACAACCATGCTCCACTGAATGGCCCCATGTCCAAGAGTATATGGCCAGCACAAATTGGATTTGATAGGTTTCAAAAATATGAGGACCCAAATTTGGGTAGGTGGAGAAGTGGGGTCTAGATTGAGAGAAGTTTGGGAAGGGGATGAACATGATCAAAATACATTGTATGAAATTTTCACAAAAGGAATAAAAATGACAAGAAAGTCTGACTATCAAGTGTTCACAAGGGTGTTGAAAGTGAAAAATGATTAACAATGCTGCTTTTCTAAGAGCATTTGAATAAATTTGTCAGAATTTTAAAATGGAAATGGATTTGATTTGGCAATTCTTTTTTCAGCACTTGGCATTGACTTATGGCCTCATACATGCTGAGGAAATACTCTACCACTGAGCTTCATCCCCAGCCCTAAGATCAGCAGTTCTACAGCAAAACTTACCTCGTTATTAGGTGTTTGGCACAAGCCTGAAACCTCAGCACTGCGGAGACTGAGGTCAGAAAATGGTAGATGAGTCAGTATAAAATATACAGAACAAAAACTGAAGTGTGTTAATGTATATCATCCGGGATACACAGATCTTTGCCATGGAAAGCAAGAAGAAAATGTTAAGTAATCCAGTCAAAAGTATTTTTTCTTATATCATTAGACCATGCTCATACAATAGTGTGGATGATTCAGCCTTCCAAAGGGAATTACATGAGTATGTGTGGGTGTATAATGATCCTCAAAGCTGTCGTATGAACAAGTAAGATACACTCTGGTGGTTTGGATGAAAATGTCCCCCACAGGCTCATATATTGGAATGCTTGTTCCTTTTATGATGGAACTGATTGAGAAAAATTAGAAGGGGTAATGTTGTTGGAGGGTGTGTGTCATTAGGGGTAAACATTGAGGTTTCAAACACCCACACCATTCCTCGTGTCTCCTTCACTCTGCTTGTGGCTGTGTCTCACGGTGTGAGCTCTCAGCTACTGCTACAGCAAAATATTTGCCTGCCCGCTGATATGGTTACCCATTTTGATGTTCATGGACTCTAACCCTCTGAAACTATAAGTGTCAAACAGACCCTTTCTTCAATATGTTACCTTAGTGTCTTATCACAGCAACAGGAAAGTAACTAAGGCATCCACCATGCAGATGATGATGTATATGCAAGAATTTGGTAGAACAGGGGTTGAGAACTAGGTAGGAAAGAATATACTAGAAAATCTTGGCTGCACTTAGGATAGGAACTAGGAATCAATGGAGTAGTAATTGGCAGCTTCAGAAATAGGAAGCTGAAACTTCTTATTTTCTATCTGGTTGTACTAGTTAAATTTTTCTTTGTGTGTATATTATTGTTCTTTGATTTTTAAAAATATATATTTAATTGCTAAGTAGATGGTCATCTTGGAAGTACTAGCCAACACTAAGAC